TTGATTGAAAACAAAAAAGGATTAATCTTGATTTGTATTAGAAAACAAGACACATTCTTTGTTGAAAATTCATATTCATTATATTCTTTCTTCTTTTTTTTTGCATGCTGTGCATGCAACATTTATATCATAGCTTTATAAATTAAAAAAAACATCCTGCTCCAATTTAAGACCTTTTTAAAAATAGTGCATTTATTCCAGTACATTGTTATTCCATTTATACAGAAAACTGACACACTGTGCAGTATAACGTGTGAATCTTTAGATTCTATGTGTACTAATCTGGAGTTTTGTCTTTTTTAATTTGATGAACTATAATTGTATATTCTAATAATGACTAATATAATGAACATAACATAAAGCATGATAACTGAATTAAGCTGTTTCAGTGATGCATCGCTGCTGAATCTCACATCAGCACAATAAAGCTTCAGGACACACAACGGCTGCACAGACACTAACTAAAGCTTAAATGCTAACATATGTCACTGACTCTTCACACACTGACCTTAATCTGCTGGAGAGGATTGGTGTCCTTGAGTAACGACATTACCGAAGCCCCTACCTGAAACACATACACAGATACAGGTGTCTGGGTCATGTCTCGTGATACAGTTGAATGCATGTGATGCATAACTTAAATGCAAGTTGCTTTGGATAATTTTTATTTTTTTTGACACTTCAAAAGCATCAAAATTCATTTAAAAAATGCAAAATAATTAATTCTTATTAGCTAGATTAAATTTCAGCTAATTAATATTTGATTGAAATATTTTATTAAAATAGTATAAATTACATAACATTTACATAACATTTCCCATGCATATTGTTTCAAAGCAGCTTTACAGAAAAATAGTGCAGTAATAATAAAAATTTTTTGGCATAAATATAAAGGTAAAATGCCATAATGTGAAAAATGTAATCTGCATAATAACATATCATTTATGAAATGGTGCTGCTAAAGTATTTGCAGGAAAAGACAACACAATACTGATTAGTGTTGACGTGTTGATGCATGTGTTGCAGTAAAGCATTGAGCAGGACGTGTGCACTGCTGTGTGAAAACATCATTAATTACTTTACATGCACACAATCAGAGTTACAGTAAAACACACAGGGTGTTGTGATGAGGCGGTAATGATCAGTGCTCTCGTGATAAGAGCCTTTTTATAACCCTCCTCTCCTCTGACACACACTGCCTTTCATATTCCTGACCTCTCCTTCAACTCGGAGTGTCCATTACTGACTCATGCTTTACACACACACACACAAACAAACACACACACACACACACACACACACACACACACACGCACACACACACACACACACAC